ACTTAGGACATAGGTCAGTGGAGATGAACATATATATACTCATGTCATGTGATCACATACATGTGTGGTACAGGGTTAAACAATTCTGGGTCTGTGCCTTAGCAAGGTTACTAAGCTCCTCTGTGCTTCAATTTGTCCATCTGTAAAATGGGCTGAATGATGATGGTGATACCACATTAGAGTCACATGCCAAAGGTTTAGCACAGTCTGTACACGTAGATTTTTCAGTTCTGAATCTGCTTTTGTCTCTGATTTGGAAATAACACTGGTGGGGCTGGTATCTTGAGGCTTTAGTGAGAAAAGTGATATTCCTGAGAAGCTTAGAACTTTCTAATGTGTGTTAGGTAATCTGGTAAGTCTTAGCTATCATTGTTATTGAGAATTTATCAAGTGCCAGCTCCTGAGCTAAGGGCTTTCTGCTAATATCTCATTCTGCTCTGATCACAAACCCAGCAGGTATTGACTACTGTCACCTCATTTTCTTGGAGCTCCAAGTTGCTCTTGTTTTTTACATGTCCTGCCATTTGGAAATCAAATTACTTGTACTATCAAGGATTTTATGAATGAGGAATTAGCACCCTGATCATTGTGGCTCAGTAGTTCAAACACTGTCCTATACAACAAAAGGTCATGGGTTTGAATCCTGGTAAGGGCACATCCCTAGGTTGTGGGTTTGGTTCTCAGTCAGGGCACATATGGGAGGCAACCACTGATGTTTTTCTCCCTCTCTAAGGTCACTGAATATGTCTTTGGGTAAGGATTTAAAAAAAGAATAAAAGAATAAATGAGGAATTAGCAACTATTTTCTGGTGAGAAATTTGTAGTTTGGAAAAATTTATTATTAATTCCACATGGTTATGTTTAAACAGAGTCCTTACCATTAAGTAACATAAAGTGACCCTGGCCCAGTAGTTCAGTCAGTTATAGCATTGTCCTGATAGCCAAAGTTATACAGGTCAGGGCACACACAAGAAACAACCAAGGAATGCGTAAAAGAGTGGAACAATAAAATCAATGTTTCTCTCTCCCTTACTCTCTCTAAAATCAATTAAGAAAAGAAACAGACCCTGGATGGTGTAGCTCAGTGGATTTGAGCGCAAGCCTGTGAAACAAAGGGTTGCTGGTTTGATTCCCAGTCGGGGCACATGCCTGGGTTGGAGACTGGGTTCCTAGTAGGGGGCATGTGAGAAGTAACCACACATTGATGTTCCTCTCTTTCTCCTTCCCTTCCCCTCTCTCTAAAAATAAATAGATAAATCTTGGGGGAAAAACCAAAGTAAATATGTATGGATAAAATGAGAAATAGCACCATACCCAAGGTGACATGACTAGGATATGAGACGAGAACTGGGGTTTTAGCCCATGTTTCCCTGCTTGGATCTTATCGTCCCCACATGATAGGGGTCCAATGCACGCATTTGGTACAGCTACTCTTAACATCCTTATGCCAGAGTGACACAACAGGCAAGCTGGGTTTTGAGGAATTCAAGTATTTGTGGAACAATATCAAAAAGTGGCAGGTGTGTGGTGACCTATGACACCCCTTGCATGAAGACTCTTAAGCCATGGAGATGCTGTGCCTCCTGATGCTCAGTTGATCTCTGTTCTCCCTGTCCCCACAGGCCATATATAAACAGTTTGATGTTGACCGTTCAGGGACCATTGGCAGCAGTGAACTCCCGGGGGCCTTTGAGGCAGCAGGTATGGCTGGCAGGGGTGGGGTTGGTGAGGCAGCCCCCACCGAGCTGGTCTGAGCCTGAATCCTGGGGCTGGGAGTGAGTTGGGCTATGTGGCCCCCACACCTGAGAGATTAAACTATTGTCAGGATTCCACCTAAATGAACATCTCTACAACATGATCATCCGACGTTACTCTGATGAGGGAGGGAACATGGATTTTGACAACTTCATCAGCTGCCTGGTCAGGCTGGATGCCATGTTCCGTGAGTGGATACCCTAGCTGTCTTCCTGGGTGGGGATTTTATTTGTTCCGTCTCCACTGGCCAAAGTCTTTGAGACTGAGGTGGGCTACGGTAGAGGCACAGCAATGATCGAAACAACCACAGATCCTACCCTCAAATCATTCACAGTCCAGTGGAGGAAAGGTAAATCATCAGAGACTACAAAGAATTGTTACCACTGGGATAGGGAAAGCTCAGGGCAGAGTGATGGGGGCTGTGAGGGGAAACTCAGGGCATAGGGGGTTTAAATTTGTGACTGGGGAAGCTCTAAGGTCTTCAAACTTAAGAGGCAGCCTGAGTCAAGGAGGGCTTCCTGGAGTAAGGCACATATGAGTTGAGACCTTAGGGGTAAGAGTGAAGATAAGTGTTGCAGTGGGAACAGCCTGTGTAAAGGCCTAGACAGGAAAAAAATACACTTTTGGTATTTTTTGTTGGATACATATGCCTGTTCAGCACACTGAACAGGGGGTGGGATGGCGTTATATAAGGCTGTGAGGGGAAATCAGCAGGGTCTGGATCTGGAAGGTGTTTTGAACATTAACTCGATGAATTCTTAAGATGGCTCTGAGAAGTAGAAATTACTGTCCCCATTTTATGGAGGAGGTAGCTAGGGTTCTAGGAGGCAAAATTGCTTGCTCACAGCCACTTGGCAACGAAGTTGCAAAGCCAGAATTTGAACTCAGATCTGAGGGAGTTGAGTGAAGGGAAGGAAGGTCAGTGGGCATGTATGTAGAGCTTTGAATGCCAATTTTGGGGTGCTCAGACACTAAAGGAAGCAATCGAGACCTACAGCAGTTTCTGGGGCATGGTGCAGGAGCAGGTTTGACTATGATTTCTCAGCTGTCCAAGAGACCAGGGAGCTGAGCTCAGTACATTAAGATTGTAGGAAGACGCAAAGGGACAGGTATGTCATGGATGCGAGGGGAAGGTGGGAGTGCACAATAGGGTAGGTGATGCCAAAAGTCACATATGAGAAAGCCTAAGAAATGTCCATTGGATTTACCAGCTAGAGGGTCAATAGTAACTGCAGTCGGTGTGGTGTCAGGAGACCAGGTATGTGGACATCTGAGGATGGATTCTGAGTGCAGAGAAGAGGGGGGGAAGCAAAGGCAGTTTGGCACCAGTTTGCCTAGATTTGGCTGTGGGTGGGGAGCATAGAGTGGAGTTTCAGGGCAGGAGTAGGAACACTACCAGACTGGAAGGTGGGAAGTGGAGCCTGCAGAGCCTCAGTTTCCTATAGTCTTTAGACTGGAACTGGAGGGTTTAGAGGTTGGCAGGAGAGTGAGACCTGGGCAGAGGGTAATGGGAGCGTACAGGTATGTAGAAGGCATTATTTATTATTTAACATTATTTTTTTCATTGTATTTTTTCCATTACCATTTATCTCTTCATACCCTCTTCCACCTCCACCTACTCTGGAGGCCATTATTATTGAAGTGGGTAACAGCCTGGGTTTCAATCCTAATTTCCTCACTTTCTCACTGTGTGACCTGCAGCACATCACTTCTCTGTGCCAAATTTTAAAATGACACTTATCTCACAGAATTGGATTAAATGAGTTAATACATTCAAAACACTTTATACAGTGCTTGACACAAAGCACTCGATAAAGTACTGGCCATTATCATCATCATTCCTTATATTAGTATATTTTTATCCTAAAAGCCAGCTGCTTGTCACCCCCACTCTTCCTTTCTCTAGGTGCCTTCAAATCTCTTGACAAAGATGGCACTGGACAAATTCAAGTGAACATCCAGGAGGTAAGAACTCCCATTCTGGAATGTGGGTTTCTAGGGAGGGACCCCTCCCTCCTATTTCTGCAACAACCCCAGGGTGAGGGCAGAGGGCTCCTGGTATTCCCAATTCCCTTCCTCCTCACTTCGTGTCCTTCTCTCCCCAGTGGCTGCAGCTGACTATGTATTCCTGAATGGGATCCCCAGACCTCTTCCCTCATCACCTTGCTATAGGAGGTCACCTTGGACTTTTTGGTCTCTCCCAGGGCTAATCCTGTCTGTACTCATTCATGTCTTTGTGGGGCATGCTGACTCACCAGCTTTTCCTTTCTCCTAGCCGTTGGCAACTTGCTTCTCAGAAAACAGCTAGGGCCCAACATGTCCCAACATGCCATGCCCCAAGTTACCCCTGGCTCTAAGACATTCTAACACACCCTATCCCATGGGTCCTCCACTTTCTGCACACACCCTTCTCACCCTGTCCATGACCTTTTTCAAACATCTGTGCCAAGCTGTGTTGCTTCCATTCCCCAAGGGCCCTTCTCTAAGTTCTAGGAGGATCACCCCTGTCCCTGTGCACCCTGGCACACCTGTTCAGTTAATTACCCAGGCAGCTGAACTACAGGTGATAGCAGGCCCACATGCTCCAGTGCCTTTGTATTCTGCTCCCAGCCTGCCAGGCCCTGTAGGAAATAAATTTACCTTAATTGCTGCTGAGATGTGCCTCCTGTTCTGAGAGTGGAAGGGTTGGCTCAGGTCCTGTCTAGGTCCTGGTGGTGAAGTGGGGGTGGTTTTGTGGGTCTTTGTGTCTGTCCCCAAGGTTGGATCTGCATGCCTTTCTCATACTGGATCCAAGTTGAGCTGTAGCCTCATTCTTTCTACGATGCTTCACAGATTCTGTGGAAACAGACTGGGACCCAGATACCTGGGCACTTTCTGCTCCTGCTGCAAGAGCAGGGCTGGTGGGAAGTGTCACTGCCACCCCTGGTTCTGTCCCTGAAGCTCATGTTTGTCCCACTGTCATTTGTGCATGAGTGAGTTTGTCCTTACTTGCCTCAGCCTGTTTTGTCATCTTCCTTCCCACCCTGTGGGCCTCTGCAGGGAGAGAGGCTGGTGAGGATACCAGCCCCAGAGGCAGCCCAGGGGTGTCATTTGGAGTCCCCAACCCCTGTGGAAGGGCTGAGAGGCAGTGACCCCTAAGAGTAGATGTGGTCTAGAATGAGGGACTAAAGGCTGGGGCAGTGGGCAGTCCATAGGATGGCAATTACTTGTTAGTGGAAGGATGGATAGAGGGGCACACACAGAGGCCAGAGCTGGGCTGGGTTCCCCAAGAAACCAGCACATTTATTGATGTCTGTTCAAGTCCTTCAGGTCCTGAAGGCTTCTTGGTCTCACTTCTTATGGGGGAAGGAAGCCCAGCCAAGACAATACAGGCTGTAGATGGTGCCTAGGAAGGGAGTGGGGGGGGTACATAGTGAGATCCTAATCATTTCCCTGAACCCTATCTTAGGCTTTTATGCCCCTCTTCGGACTCGCCAGTCACCGAGCTGTATGCCAGCCCCCAGTTTTGAGTCAAGTTCCATCTCAAAACTGCATTTCAGGTGGGGAATCTCTGGTCCTTGATCCAGACCAGGCCCTGGACTTTCAATCCAGCCCCTGTCAGGGTGCCAGGGCCCGTCCTGGGACAGAAGCACAAGCCCCAAGGAGCTGCCTCCTATTTGCTAGTCTACACTCCAGTACTGTCCCCAAACCTGGCCACCTCACAGCCCAATCCCCTCTTTAAACCCCAGTCCGAGAACAAGCCCCCTTCACTCCAGCTAGAGCCCGCCTCGTGCATCTCAGGCTGAACCCAACTCTGCACTCACCTCCAAGACACAGCGCCATGGTGAATCGGTAGAGAATGCTGTCAGTTCCCCCGCCCTTCAGGTGCACCGGGAGGTCATTGTCCGCCTGAGATTGGGGCCGACCAATAGAAAAGGTGTTGGTTGCGACGAGGGTAGTTACCCCCCTACCCCAGATCGAACTTCCGTCTCCCGGCCTTGCCCTTGCCCTTGCCCTGCCTCCACTTGACTACCTGGAAGAGTTTCTGTTTCTCAGCCACTCGGTTCTCCAAGCGGTTCCAGGCGGTTGAACTGAAAGAGCGAATCAATGCCTGGGAAACCTGGGCGGAGGGGATTGATGGGTGGGTGTTAGAGGCGCCTGGAGAAGCGTCTCAAGGTGGGTCTGGTCAGGGGAACCAGACTAGTACTGTGCTTTGGGAGCTTCCCAAAGGCAAGATCAGGATTGCCAGCACGAGTGGGGGAGGGTGTTGTCAAGAAAGACCCAGAAGGGAACTCGCACCTAAAGGGTTGGACTTGGAGTTTATCAAGCTGTCTAGAAGGTGCTGGCAGAGGGGTGGTCCCAAAAGGGAGACTAATGGACCTGCGGGTCCAAATCGCGAGATGTTTTTTTTGTTGTTGGGGAGGGTTTCCTGGATTAACGGTAGGAACCCAGGTCCCGGAAATGTGACTGGATCGGGGTACTCTGTGGGGTTTCCAGACAGCAAGGGAAAGGGTGTTGCATTCCCAGTGCCTGGGTCCCGACCAGTACCCTGGACGAAGGAAGACGTTCAAACCCAGAGTTCTGGGCCCCATGTTAGGGAGGGGAGAGGTAGGGGTGTCCAAAACTGTTTAGGAGGAAGACTGGAACCCTGAAAGGGGCTCACATTACAAGCCCCCAGATCCCGGGATGTTTAGGGACTCTGGTACTGGGGTAATGGCTTTCAGGTTGGGGGTCCCGGCCCAGCGCGTGTGGACCCTCACCTTCAAGGCCCTCATTCTGAGTCCTCTTCGGCCGGAGTCACCTATCCTCTCTGCCCAAGGACATACAGCGGCCTTCCCTCCCTGGAACCCCTGGCCACTCCCCGGGCGCGCTACAAAAACCCTGTCTGGCCCTCGCCAGAGTGGGGTGGAGCCCAGAGAAGCGGCCGAATAGGTCGGTGGAGAAAACGCTGTAATCCCACCCCCCCGCACCAAATGGTTGAGGTACCCATCTGTTACTCATCTCCGAATTTCCATTGGTCCAAGTTCCAGTTCCAGGAAGTATATTTTGGGGTTTGTAGCTGGGGCAAGTACATTTTCTCCTCCAGCTCTCTCGGGTCTCCTTTTACCCGGATTGGTACTGCAGACAGTGTGAGGGCGCAGCTAAACGGGTTGGAACTTCTTGTTCTATTTACTTAGACCGAGCGATTGAACACCTGAGTCTTATTCCCTGTATCTGTAACGTGAGATTAAGAGACTTAAAGTTTTGGGAGCACTAAATGAGCTCATATTAGAGCACAAGTGAGCTAAGTTACATCGGAGCTAAAAACTATTGCATACAGACGGATAAGAGCTGTTATTTCCACTTTTCTAGCAGCAAGGCTCATATAGAAAATATTTTTGTATTTAGTTAATTTAAGTCTTTTTTTTTTTTTTAAAGATTTTATTTATTTATCTTTTAGAGGGGAAGGGAAGGAGAGAGGGAGAGAAACATCAATGTATGGTTGCCTTTCGTGCGTCCCCTGCTGGGAACTGGCCTGCAGGGAACCAGCCTGCAACCTAGGCATGTGCCCTGACTGGGAATCGATAGTTAATTTAAGTCTTATCATAGAATACATTTTTAAAATATTTACCCATTTCTAGAGAGGGGAAGGGAGGGAGAAAGAGAGGGAAACAGACGTGATATAGACTGGTTGTTTCTCCCAGGCCCTCAACTGGGCACGTGGCTCACAACCTAGGCATGTGCCCTGACTGGGAATGGAATCTGACCTTTTGGTTTGCAGGCAGGTGCTCAACCCACTGAGCCACACCAGCCAGGGCTTATTCTGGAAAATTTCAAACAAAGGAAGCAGAGAGCAAGGTATAATAAAGCTCCATCTTGGACCCAACACCGGCTTCAACAGTTATTACAATGTGCTTTTCATGTATCTCCCCACTCAACTTTTTTTGGTGTATTTTAAAGCAAACCCCAATGTCATTTTCATTACATATGGATCTCTAACAGGGACTTAAAAGGAAAATCCTAACGACCCATAATTTATAGATTGAATCAGGGATTAGAAAAAAATTATTAGAAACTTAAAAAAAATGATTAGTGGGACAATGGGTACATTTCAAATAAGGTTTTGGATTAGATAATAACAGTATCAATTACCTGATTTTGATGATTTTACAATGGTTATTTAACAATGTTTTTAGGAACTACATGTTGAAGTATTAGGAAGTAAAAGGGTATCAGATCTGTAACGTAGGTAGAATGATTAAGAAACATGTCTATATCTGCTTCTAATTCTGTCTGATTCAGATGTACAGGCAGGGTTGAGCCTGTACATCTGAATAGTTTTTAGTGGTGATTATGGCATAGTCTAAATGGTTTCAACAATCTTTAAATAAATATATATTTTTTAAATTTTATTTATTTATCTTTAGAAGGGAAGGGAAGGGAAGGAGAGAGGAGATAAATATCAATGTGTGGTCGCTTCTGGTGCCTCCCCTGCTGGGAACTGGCCCCTGCTGGGAACTGGCCTGCAACCCAGGCATGTGCCCTGACTGGGAATTGAACTGTGATCTTTTGGTTCACAGGCCCGTGCTCCATCCACTGAGCTACACCAGCCAGGGCAACAATCTTTTAAAAAAGGCTTTTATAACAATTGAATTTCCTTGACACTTTCAAACTGTGCTTCTAAATTGAGTATTAGACTTTTTCCATTTATGAACTACAGAAGACTCTCTCCTCAATACTTAACATAAAGTTTTATGAATCTAAAATGACAAATGTATAAATATGGCAAATCTTATAATCCATTATTTGTTCCAAATAGTGTATATAAATGTAAGATTTCAACAGAAAAGTGAGTCTTAGTCATTAACTCGATTCTACATTTTAAATTGGAATTATATGTGTAAAATTGACCTGTTACTTGATAAGGCCAATTTATCTTGTATCTTACAAATACTTAAAATACTAAATACTTAGATTTCCTAACAAAAAATACTAACATCATGGTTTTGACTGTCTTACATATTTTCTTACCTAATTTTTTATTCTTAAATATATAATCTTTTTTTGAGATTTTATAAGCATTTTATTGCAATTCATATTTTGTTGATTCTTCACATGTGAAGCAACATATATTCTGCATAAGTTACTGTAATATCTTTTTTTAATACAATACTCATAATGCCACTTTATATAAAAAAAGTTTAAAGATTTTCATTGACAAATGATTCCTTATAAATTTTCTTTAACGTTTTGAGTGCTCTGTTTGGTAAAACTACATATATGGCTGGGATGTGGCTAGCTTCTCACTGCATTCATGTCAGAGATGCATATGTCAACATCTATATCCCTGTCCATATCATATCCATATCTCTCTATGCATGTATACACACACACTTTGTTCTTATTTACCCTGATATTCTCCAAACTGTGTTCCACTTGGCTGTTTTTTCAAGGCCTTAAAACATACAACAAATATATTTGAATTTTTTGCCAATTATATTTTACTTGTTTCCCCCATTTAAAAATATTTATTTATTTATTATTTTTAATACTTCTGATTTTTATTTTTGTTCAAGTATAGTTTTCTGCCTTTCCCCCCACCCTTCCCCACCACCTTAGCCTTCCCCACCTCATTCCCCTGTTTCCACCCTCCCTTATTATTGTCCGTGTGACCTTTATAATCGTTCTTGTGAACCCTTCACCCTTTTTCCTCATTATCCCCTCTCCTCTCCCTTCTGGTTACTGTTAACTTGTTCCCAGTTTCTAGTCGTTGGTTATATTTTGCTTTCTTGTTTGTTTTTTTGATTAGGTTCCAGTTAAAGGTGAGATTATATGGTATTTCTCTTTCACCACCTGGTTTATTTCACTTAGCATAATACTGTCACAAAGGGTAAGAGCTCTTTTCTCTCTGTTGCTTAGAATCCCATCCTGAAAAGGTACCATAGTTTTCTGATCCATTCATTTACTGACGGGCACTTTGCTTGCTTCCAGCACTTGGCAGTTGTAAACTGTGCTGCTATAAACGTTGGGGTGCATAGGTTCTTCAGGATTGGTGTTTCAGGGTTCTTAGGATATAATCCTAGCAGTGGAATTGCTGGGTCAAAAGGCAGTTTCATTTTTAATTTTATGAGGAAACTCCATTCTGTTTTCCATAGTGCCTGCACCAGTCTGCAATCCCACCAACAGTACACTAGGGTTCCCTTTTCTCCACAATCCCTCCAACGCTTGTTGTTTGTTGATTTGTTTATGATGGCCATTCTCACGGGTGTGAAGTGGTATCTCACTGTGGTTTTAATTTGCATCTCTCTGATGGCTAGTGATGCTGAGCATCTTATAATATGTCTCTGGGTCCTGTGTATGTCCTCCTTGGAGAAGGTCTGTTCAAGTACTTTGCCCATTTTTCAAGTGGGTTGCTTGTTGTCTTAGAGTGGAGTTGTGTGAGTTCTTTATATATTTTGGAAATAAAACCGTTGTCTGAGGTATCACTGGCAAATATGTTTTTCCATATAGTTGGTTCTTTTTTCATTTTAATGATGTTTTCTTTATCTGTGCAGAAGCTTTTTATTTTGATGAGATCCTATTTGTTTATTGTTTCCTTTATGTCCCTTGCTCTAGGGAACATATCAGTGAAAATATTGCTCTGTGGAATATCTGAGATTTTGCTGCCTATGTTCTCCTAAAGAACTCTTATGGTGTCACAACTTACATTTGAGTCTTTTACTCACCGTGAATTTATTTTTGTGTATGGTATAAGTTGGTGGTCAAGCTTCATTTTTTTGCATGTAGCTGTCTAGCTCTCCCAACACCGTTTTTTGAAGAGGCTATTTTTGCTCCATTTAATGCTGCTGCCCCCCCTTTGTCAAATATTAATTGACCATAGAGACTTGGGTTTATTTCTGGGCTCTCTGTTCTGTTCCACTGGTCTTTCTGTCTGTTTTTATGCCAGTGCCAGGCTTTTTTGATTACAGTGGCCTTGTAATAAAGTTTGGTATCAGGTATTGTGATTCCTCCTGCTTTGCTCTTCTTTCTCAAAATTGCTGCAGCTATTTGGGGTCATTTATGGTTCCATATAAAATTTTCAAGTATTTGTTCGGTATCTGTGAAATATGCCATTGGTACTTTAATAGGGATTGTGTTGAATCTATAAATTGCTTTGGGTAGTATGGACATTTTGATGATGTTAATTCTTCCAATTCATGAACACGGTATGTGATTCCATTTGTTTGTGTCTTTTTTCATTTAGAGACTAAGAGCACAATTCTAAGGATGAATAAATCCAGGAGCTGGTTCTCTGAATCCTTTCTTTAGTGTCATGTAGTTTTCTGAGTGCAGGTCTTTTACCTCCTTGTTTAGGTTTATTCCTAGGTATTTTATTTTTCTTGTTGCTATATCGAATGGGATTTTTTCCTTGATTTCTGTTTCTGATATTTTCATTGTTGGTATAAAAATGCCTTTGATTTCTGAATATTAACTTTGTATTCCACTGCTTTGCCAAATTCATTTAATAGGTCCAGTAGTTTTTGGGTGGAGTCTATACGATTTTCTATGTACACTATCATGTCACCTGCAAACAATGACAGTTTTGTTTCCTCTTTTCCAATTTGGATGCCTTTTATTTCCTCTTCTTATCTGATTGTTGTGGCCAGGACTTCCAATACTATGTTCAGTAGAAGTGGTGAAAGAGGACAACCTTGTCTTGTTTCTGATCTTAGTGGGAAAGTTTTTAGTTTTTGCCCATTGAGTATGATGTTGGCTGTATGTCTCTTATATATGGTCTTTATTAGGTTGAGGAATGTTCCCTCTATTCCCACTTTGCTGAGTGTTTTGATCATAAATGGGTGCTGTACCTTATCAAATGCTTTTTCCGCATCTATTGATATGATCATG